TCGGGGTGGTACATGTGTTCGAGAATTGCTGGGACCTAAATGAAGGATCATTGGGTACCTAATTGTTATGGTTGTGATGGAATGTTACATTAGTGTATTTAAGTAGAAGTTGTGTGGAGGAATGAAGTAATTACTTAGAAACATTTGGGTTAAGTAGTGTGATTTTGGTAAAGTTGTGTGGTGCACTATGCATATAGAGGGAGATGGAGAAAAATCAGATTTTCTCCTTCCATTTGACCCGAATGTCTTCTTCTTCTTCACCTTCTCTCATTCTTCTTCTTCTTTCACCATTAATGAGTTCCAAGAGTTACTTTCTCTCTCCTCCATTTGAGACCCTTAAAGTGGGAATTAGAAGATATTCCAAGAGAGAAAACTTATCCTCTCTTCTTTTTATTCAATTATATGGAAGAAAATATGAGTTTGGAGTACTTCGGAATTTTGGGTGATTTTCGAACTTAGGATTTTGAGGAAGCCATAGGAGGGCAGCTTGTTCTCCTCCTTCTCCTTTTCGGTTTTTTGAAATAAAATTTGGATTTGGTGAACTTTGGTCCAATGGGACTTGGGGGGGTTTTTACTCTTCTTGAGGTATGATTATATTAACCTTTTGATCTATATTATTCAAGTGTTTTATGTGATTATTTGATGTCAAGTATACTTATTATTATTATTTTTAGAATAGAATGACTTATATTCTGCCTAAATTCATTTAAATTCAAAATTTATCTTATTAAGATGTATTGATTTTAGGAAAATATAGTAGGGCAGCTTGTTTTCCTCATTCTCCTTTTCGGTTTTATGAAATAAAATTTGGATTTGGTGAACTTTGGTCCAATGGGAATTGGGGGGGTTTTTACTCTTCTTGAGGTATGATTATATTAACCTCTTGATCTATGTTATTCAAATGTTTTATGTGATTATTTGATGTCAAGTATACTTATTATTATTATTTTTAGAATAGAATGACTTATATTCTGCCTAAATTCATTTAAATTCAAAATTTATCTTGTTAAGATGTATTGATTTTATGAAAATATAGTCAATTATTTTACATTGAGACTTGGTTTCACACAATTTGGTTGAAGAATGAATTTATTATGAATTTGTGAAGTTGGAATCATCTTGCTGGATATTTTGTTTTGGGGGCAGAATTTCTTTGACCTTTCTCATCAAAACTGTTTTAAATGGTAATGTATTTTGTTAAACTAAATTGATAGTTTCAAACTATAGTCTTTAAACTTTCAATTGACTTTAGATTCACTCAATTTGGATGAGAATTGATTTTTCCATGAATTTTCAAAGTTGGAAGCTACGTGTTGAAAATCTGTTTTCTGGGCAGAATTTTTTTCAAATTTTGTGTCAAAACTATTTCAATCGGGAAATGATTTTGTTAAACTAAATTGATATTCTCAAATTATAGTGTTTAAGATTTCAATGGGCTTTGGAATCATTCAATTTGTTAAAGAACTGAAATTTTTATGAATTTTCAAAGTTGAAGGTAACAAGCTGAAAAATCTGTTTTATGGACGGAAAATTTGGGGCGATTTCATTTCGGTGGTAATTGGGATTTTCATTCCAATTGAGGCAGGGGTTCCCTAATGCATCAAGTTCTGTCTCTTTATTTGAGCAAATTTCTAATATTATTGTTATGTGTCTAAAATTGCAAACTTTGATATGAAATTAAGGATTTTGAAATGTTGTACTTGTTAAAGCATGAAGTTGTATGTATTTATATGTTAAACTTGCTTGTGAATGGTTCTTGTATATGTCTTACTTGAGATAATGGTGTCTTTGTTGTATTGAATTTCCAAAGTATGCTATGTTCCTAGTTGATTATCATAAATGCCATGATGATGTGTTATTGATATAATGATGAAATTGAGATTTTGATGATGAAAGTTATTACATTGCATATCATGGCATAAAGGAGGGATTTGGAGAAAATTAGAAAGGAAATGTTGTTTTTAGCACGTTGAGTTTTTTTTAAGGAAGGGAAATGTTTTTTTTTTAATTTAAAAATGAACCGGATTTCGCGAGTCCGGGGTAACTTGACCTAGAGGAAACGTGGCACGGTGTAAGGGGTGAAAAATTTGATACTAGGCCCTTTAATGGTTGCCGGATTTGGAACCGGGTATAACTATCAATCTCGCCTCGGTAAAGTCGGTTAGCGGATTTTTGAAAAGTGTATATTGGGCCGGTATAAACCAAGTTGGTGAGGGGATGTATCTCATATCATATCATGCACTTGGAATGTAAAATTGTGCTTGTGACTATGGATACTGCTTGTTATGTGTTAAATGCCGTTTGAATTCCCATGATATGACCCCAGCTTCATTTCTATCCCCCGATGTGTTATGTGGCTCAAGGGAGTCCAAAACTGACGCCTTAGGCTACTTCTACTGAGCCTTATGTTCTTCCCTTATTTTTAAAATTTTTCAAGACATGGAAAAAAAGTAGCGGACGACGTTCCACCATAGGCACAGGTAGGATTTTAGAAGCTTATTTTGTTAACTATTATACCTAAGTCTCATTTTGTGGAACTTTATTAAGACATGTACATTTTGTGTATTGTGGCCTGTAAAGGAAGTCAAGAACCTTGTTTGTATTTGATGTAAATTTCAAATGTCTTACTAATAGCCAATGATGCATGTAATAGCTATGTTTATATATATTTGGAGGTGAATGAGATGATGATGAACTCTTTTGAGGATGGTATTGATGTTGTAGATTTTGGATTAAGGTTTATTATTTGCATTGTATGTTAGAGTAGGTTAGTTCAGTTTTGAAGGCCCAAGTGAGGCCATTGTATTTCATATGCATTACAGCAGGTTGTAGCAAGACTCTTTTCTACAAAGGTCGTGCCGGTCGACAGAATTTTAGTAATGTTGACCGGTATCTTTTTGGGTCATTACAATATAGCTGGGAAATAACCGAACCGTTTGATCTCACATATAGGGAAAATGACTTAACTCTCAAGATAGGGAAAATGACTTAACTTTTAAGATATATAGGGAATAACAAGCCAGCCAAGCCAAGCCAAGCCCAATCCCTGAAGTGCATTATGTAATATGGAAGGAAGGTTTACGAATAATTCAAAGAAAAGAAAAGTAAGGGAAGTGCAGTTCCTAATATGGAAGTAGTTTTGGAATGTACAGAGAAGTGCAACCAGCACATATCTTTTAAGAAAATACCTAAATCTATCTATAGGTGGCGTGGTTTGGGCATTGTCCTAATGAGCGGCAAAGTTGTCCTAATGGGCCGGCCAATAATTGCTAGCCTAGCCCAGTTTGAGTTAAGGATTGACCTGCTTTTGTTGAGTGTTTTAATATAAGCGGTGGAGTTATTACTACTAGCCCAGTAAAAGAGGTGTCCTAATGGGCTGCGAAGTAATAACTAGCTCAGTAAAGGAAATAGGTCACGGAGTAACTAGCCCAGTAGAAGAACATTCACTTATTGAGTTAAGGATTGGCCTGAATTGAGCGTTTTAATATATATAATATATTATATAATACTATAAATTATTTTTTGAGATAATAATATTACTGATAAATATGAAGGGAATATGATATAATTTTGCTCACATATCATGGTTACTGAGATCCAATTAGTTCACATATCATGATGTCGTCATTTAAACTAGTAATATAATTTTCTATGAATTAAACCAGTATCAGGCAGAAGAAAATATCTTATATATATTCAATTCAGTACAAATCTCATGTATTGAATACAACAAACTTCATAGCTTTATAGTTTAGAATCCAGAAAGAAAATTAAAATTGATAAAGCATGAAATTTTTATTAATGATCTCCAATTGAATACTAATAATTAAGAGTATTACAAATTTTTTCAAAACAACATATACATGCAAGAATATTGATTGATCGATCAATTGAATGAACCTATAGCAATTATATACAAAAATCCCGCTAGCTATATCATATATTACATATTGACAATTGCTCAAGTCCTGCACAAATTAAATTAAATGGCGAGCAACGCGTAAGATGTTGTAGATATTGCGGTGGACAACAAATCATAACTAGCTTATAGTTCATCTCGATCTTGGTGCTAACCCATACACGAAGCCTTCAAATATTTCCTCAATTAATTGATATACTTGCTTCATTTCCAAATAGACACAAGTCATCAATAAGCTGTCTGAACCGGCTTGATGTGTAATCCTAAACGGGATACTCCCAACATATTTGCCATTCTTTCTAAACCCATCTCTCCACATAATAGCCCTCGACAATACTTGGCGATATACTTCACATCATAGACACGATCGGGTATATTACCAGTTTGACTATGTAAGCCATATCTTACAATCCATTAAATGTGATCCACTGAATATCATGATGGGATTGGACCAAGTTTCTGAAGGTGACTGCAAATAGAATCATGTTAACTCCTTCCAAATGATGAAATTTTCTTTAATGTTGTTTAAATTTTATTGGTATTTTGACAACCTATATCTTATATTAATTTGTATGTGATTATACAAATAAGATCTTTTGTTGAAATATTTTTCTAAAAAATAATTATTTTGTTCGTACCTATGTATTCTATTCAAATTGTTTGAACTTAATTTGAGCTCAATTCTAGTAAAAAATAAAGTTTCGTTTTTTTTTTTTTTTTTTTTTTTGTAAAAAAAAGTTAAGTTTGAAAGCATCAAATTAATGCTTTAAAATTTGGATTTAAAATAAAAACGAAAATTAAAGTTTGCTTGAATTGAGATTGGGTTAGTAATTTCATACCTTAAATAGATTTGAACTGACTTTAAATCCGTGAAAATTGCACCCCAAAAAATTATTCACTTTGCACGAGCGAAGGGCGTGCTCTGATCTAACGGCGCCGCATTTAAATTCCTCTTAAACCACTCGACTTCCCATTCGCCTCACGTTGTAGAATTGATAATACACAGAAAACCAAGGGCATAACTGTAATATCAGAGCTTTCCCTTTCATTTGCAGTTGGTATGTAGTTCGCTTCGCTGTGACTGACTGACTGACTGTACTTCTACTAGTGAGCATTTCGATGACCTTCTCTCTCTAGAGCTCACACTTTGGTTGTGACAAAGCCCTTGCAGCAAGATATTCGACCATGAATCGCTAAGACATCCATTTCAGTCACTCTCTTCAGTCACTCGACTCACCGTTTAATATTCCTCTCAAGAAACAATTACAACTCACAAAAGGTGCGCACACTTTCATTTTTTTTAATTTTTTTTTTTTTTTTTAATGGATTCAAACCCTACTTTGTTGTTCTATAAACTCACTGTTTATGTTACTTTTATGCTTATAAGCTGCAAATTCTCTTTAATTTCTCTTTACTATGAGTTCTAGTTGCAAATCTTTAGATACTGAGTGCCAATCGGATTTATTTTTACGTTTTCTTTTGATTTTGTTCTTGTTTTAATTTTTCTCAGCAACCAAACGCTGAATTTTGTTTTTTGGGTATTGAAAATGCTGTATTCACACCATAGTATGTTTTGATTTCATTGAATGTATTCACACCATAGTACGTGAAAAAGTAATTAAGAGAAAGAAAGGGACAAAAAGCTACTCTTGAAGATGTCAATTTGTAACAACCCTGCTGAGCTCCATTATAAGAACAACATACTCTTGTTGCATCTTAATTAAGTGAGCACTTTTATAATCATTCCCAACTCTGTGTTGCTATTAGTTACAGTTGATTATGCTGATGATTTCAAGATATATCCCGTTTTCTTTTTGTTTGCTTTGAGTTGATTTATTTTGGTGGGATTAGGGTTACGAACACACCGGATGTTTGAGGGAGGATGTGGCTGATTTGGTGGTCGGATTCATTTTGACAAAGTTTAGGTATTTTTGCTTATGGTTTGGTTAATTATGCTCGTTTGGTTGCTTAGAAAGTGTGTGAGTGACGTAAAGAATTGAGCATTTGAGTCTGTTTTTTGTTTGGCACTGATGAAATGAGAGCCTTCACTCAACTGACTGCTATTTATTTTGAATAATTGCACTTTTATCCTTTTCCCGGAAATCTTACAGATAATAAGAGTCACAACTTCATTTTTCAGTCATTTCCTCTGAATGTTCAACAATCAAACAGAAGGTAGTAGTGATTTCAATTTTGCTTTACACTGGATATGCTTGGTTTGTCTGTAGTGTATCTATCCATCCATCTATCTAGTTTTTGTGAATCAGTGGCAGAGCAGTTAAAAATTTAGTGAAATTATCCTTTTCTGGTAATTAGTGTATTTTTATCTCTCAAGTTGAAAAGATGGATTTGATGAAGTACATGAATGTGAATAATTATTCGTCGAGGGTAATGACTAATGGGTTGAGAAAATCTTTAGGAGAAAAAAACTGGCAAGACTTTTCTTGTGCAGTTTTGAATGTCTGTGTTTTCACTTCTTGGGTTTCAAGAAACAATTACAACTTAGAACTCACATAAGGTAAACACTTTCATTTTTTTCATTTTAATGGATTCAAAGCCTACTTTGTTTTTCTATAATTTCACTGTTTATGCTACTTTTTATGCTTATTAGCTGCAAATTCTCTTAAATAAGTTAAATGTCTCTTTAATCTGAGGTTTACTTGCAATTCTTTAGATTCTGAGAGCTAATTTGATTTATTTTTACGTTTTCTTTTTTATTTTGTTCTTGTTTTAATTTTTCTCAGCAACCAAACGGTGAATTTTGTTGTTGGGTGTATTGAGAATGGTAGTCCATCCAATGGAAATTTGACAAAGCGGCCTTTGGAAAACAGCTATTGCTCGTCTTCTGGTGTTTTGCAGTTCAAGTATAAGCCCCAGAATGTTTCATGTATCCGTGATTATCCTCCGGGGTGTGGGCGTAAAGCTCTGCAGATTCATTTGAGGCAAAAGGAAAATGTGGTGGCATTGGGTGGTGATAAGGAGAATTTGGTGGATGATGAAAGGAGGACTGAAGTTGTAGTGGCTGATTGTATTGGAACTCCTGAATTTCGGGTTGAATTCCAGTCTCTTGAAGTGCTGAAATGTCGAATTCGGCCAGAAATGGCTGAATCATCAGGTGGTTTGGTGGCGAAGGTGCTGGATATGCCCAGAATGGTCAGTGAGGATGTGAAAATTTCAACAAATATGGAGGTATTGGAAGTTGGGTTGCGGAAAGATTTAGAGAGTCTTGCACCGGAATTGGTGGAGTCGTTGCTTGAGGTGGAGGTTCAGGCCCTGATGAAGACAGAAGATGCATTAGAAAACGAAATTGTGTCGGTGGCTAGTGCAAAAAAGTTTTCACAGCAGTGGTCTGTTGGTGATGCCAATGTCCCGCAGGAGATTGCCCTGAAGAAAAATTATCCACGAAGAAGAGTTTCGGTAACCCGTGATTACCCTCCATTTTGTGGAAGGAATGCTCCATGCCCAACTGAGGAAGAGCACCAGAGGGTTGTTTTGAGAAACACGAGTTTTGGTGGCACGGAGAGGGCTGGTGCAAAAGGCAGGTCATTGAGGGAGACAGGGGGCGCTGCAAGGGCTAGTGCCTTAGAATCGGAAAGGAATGTTCGAGATGGGAATGCTCAGAAGAATGAATTGAGAGGGACTGTGCCTGAGCCAAGAAACAATTCCCGGGCAGGAATTAAAAAGGTATCTGTGGATGTAAGAGATTTGTTGGGGAAAGTGCCTAAGGAGATTATGGTTCACTCACATGGAAGAAGTCCGAAGCGAATGCTTTCGGGTGGTCATGTTGGTTTGGGATGTGGAGTGGACAGGGTGATTGGGCAAGGTCTGATGGCTTCACCAAATTGTCTGTGGAAGCAGGGGAAAGGGGCTTCAAAAACTAGCCGAGTTGGTGGTATGAGCCGAAGCAAATTAAAGAAGCAAGATTTCACTGGGCAAGGGAATTCTAGAACTGTTGTCAGGAAAAATAATTATTATGCAGATTATTGAAGAGGAAATTTATCGAAGGGGAAATCAACGTTTTCTGGGAAGGCAGCTTATGGAGGCATAGGTGCACTACCTGTCTGGGATGATGAGGAATATTGTGTTGTTCATGATGATGAGAAGTGTAACGCTTCTCACCAATTTCAACGACTGCATGATTTGGACATACATCTGCCCCCCTGTTATGGTCCATATAGTTCAAATAGTGGTGATGCCTGATGGAAAGTGTTGAAAATGCTTTGTTGGTTCCAAACTAATTGTAGGAGGCTCTTAGAAACCGAAGAAGCAAAGTTGAGGCAGAGCAAAAGGATTGATCTTCAAGCGATAAAGAATATTAAGAAAAAAGGAATAAAATTTAACACTGGAAAACAAATACTGGGAGCAGTTCCAGGACTTGAGGTGGGCGATGAGTTCCAGTACAGGGTGGAGCTTGCTCTTATTGGCTTGCATCGCCCGAACCAGGGTGGTATAGATTACATGACATATGGCGGAGAGATCATTGCAACTAGTATTGTTGCTTCAGGGGGTTATGATGATGATTTGGACAATGCTGATGTCTTAATATACTCTGGACAAGGAGGAAAACCAGTAGGTCGCGATAAGCAACCTGAAGACCAGAAACTTGTAAGAGGAAACTTAGCTTTGAAGAACAGTATATCAGCAAAGAATCATATGTGAGTGATCCGTGGATCCAGAGAGACAAAGGCCTCTGCCTCATCAGATGCAAGAGCTAAGATAGTTATGACATACACTTATGATGGCCTGTACATTGTAAAGAGTTACTGGCAGGAACCATGACCACATGGTAAGCTGGTTTTTAAGTTTGAGTTGATGAGAATTCTAGGGCAACCAGGCAACCAGGCAACCAGAGCTTGCTTGGAGTAAAAAATGTTGAGATGAAGAGATGCTATTGTGGTAAATCAGATTCGTGATTCCAGTGGAAATATCAAGATGAAGAGATTCTATGGTGGTTCAACAGTGAGTGTAATAGATGAAGTTTAGTCTCTCTATGAACAGGGATCCTTTGTTTCTCAATTTGAGTTTCTTTCTCAATACTTTACATCACCTTTACATGCTTCTGCATTGCAGTACTTCATCTATTGTTTACTCTGTGTTATATGTTACAATACATGTATGTCATTTAGTGTTTTAATAGCTAAAAAAAAAAAAAAATGCAAGTGCAGCACTAACAGTCACATATTTTATCATCAACAGAATCATACACAGATGAAAGCACATTTTTCAAGCTTTCTAGTAAGTCACACCTTCTTTGTCCCAACTGGGACTTAAATCCTCAACCTTCTCTTTAAAAGGTGGCGGAGATACACTTGGGATAAAATATTAATAGACAAAATTTATATGCAATATTATTCATCTCTCTATGCATGTTAATATGTAATTGAGCTGTGCTTGATTAATAGGTCTTGCACCTCCAAATTTTAAATCTGTGGAAATTTTGTTCTTTTGATAGTGATTGAAGTACTGCCATGGGGCTGCAACTTTGTAGTTAGCCATTGCTGTTGGCAGGATTGCCCAGTGTCACTGGCCTTCCATTGATTTTGTGCTGCTGCTTCTATTCATGTTCCCTCTCTTACTATTGCTGATATTGTAAGTAGCAGTAGCCATTAACTTTGATGTTGATTGTAGCTTACGACCACTTTTTTCGGTGCCCTTGATGTCTTCTATTTCGTCGAGGTTGCTTTAAACCAGAAAGGATCTGCTTATTGGCGATGTTAATTAGTCAGGTGGCCGCTTCAGAAACTTCTGGAAAGCCAGCCATGGTTGCTGCCAAGTGCATTGCGGTTGCTTTCTACAGCTGGCACTTTTTTTTCTCAATTGCGTAGGGTTGAGGTAGTGCTTAAGTGGATACCATGGGCAAATGTTTGGACTTGGGACATTGGAGCTGTCAAGATGGTTAGACAATTGATGAGTCAACTGATTCACGGACCGGATGAACCAAATTGTGGAGCGCATCTGGGAGAACCAAAGGCCATAAAATTGAGGTTTGGGATTGGAATTGAGACCCTTTTGGGTGCATAATCCAAATTATGAATGGTCCAGCTCAGTAAAAAGGATAGACGATGTCTCTTCTATCTGGGTACTTCCATTTTCCTTGCCTCAGTTTTGATGCTTGGGTCTCTTTAAAGATGAAAAGAAGCTGAAATTTGAACAGCCCTTTTTTACTAGAGAAGCTATTTTTCTTCGAACTGTCAATCCCCTGATAGAATAAGACACAGCTTCAACTTATGGTTTCCATTTTCCATTGAGCCTCTTAACTACGCCAGGTACGCTCTCCCTCTCGAAAATTTGTCCACATTTAATTTATTTTTCCCTTGGCAAGAAACACACTCACTTGCCCCTATGGGACTTGAACTCTCGACCTTCTACTTTGAAAGGTGAGGAAATACCACTAGGCTATAGCCTTAATTTGGTGAGGAGTTACTTTCTGAAAATGTAAATAGTTATGTCAATTTTCAATCTTTCTCTTCCAACACTCCATATAAGCATGATGTAGGCTATATAAGTCCATTTATTTATCTTATTAAGCGAGCCTCACATAGCGGATTACATTTTATTGACTATGTACATAGTTGGCTCATGGCTGTAGCTGTTGGAGCTTTTCTCTTCTCATGATCATAGAATAACTTTACTATGATGTACTAAAACGTTTCAGTTTCTTCTTGCTCCTCCAAATCCAAACTTCTAGGATACGTTTTTGTAAAACACTATCTTTGTCTATTGTAAGTGAGTTGTCTTTAAATTATTGGATATACGTATCTCAAAGGTATTCAATCACTTACAAGTTACAATCTCTGTGTTTTGTTTATGTTCTCTTGTTCTTTAACATTTGTTGACTTAACTTATGGGGGGAGTGTCTTGGACTGATATCACAGTGTCCTCTTTCTCTTTAGTAGGGTAAGTACTTGCATACAAAATTGTGAAAGTTCTGTGCTATGTCTTTCTAGAATGATGATGAAAGAATTGATTTTAATGTGCTTCAAGATAATTAAGTTGACTGTTTTAAATTAATTTATCTAACAAAATTAAAATCTTGATCCAAATAATTCTTTCCATGAAGAAAAGAACTATCTTTCTCACTGTAGAATTAAAAGCAATGAACAGTCAAATTTCCACATAGCATAACAATCTAAATTAAATTAATTTCAATTAATAAATCAGGACACGAGTTTCTTATTAGCTTTTTTTAAAGTGGGAAGCATCTTCTGCGCAAGCCACAAGGTGTAAGAACTTGATGAATCACACAAAGCAGGCTGATATGATTGAATAGTAAATGGATAGGTATTATTGAAAGTGAGAGGATCCATTCTTGAAGAGGCTTAAGTCAAAATTGCGATTCTAATTATATTAATTAGTTGTTTCTTCTTCTTATTATTATTATTATTTTTAAAAAAAAAAAAAAAATTAAATTCCTTCACATTCGTTGTTGATCCATTTCCTTAACCTTGATATCCTCTTTCAAGTTTTCTAAAAGATTTTACACGTATGTTATATATACAATTCTCTCCCCTGCTCTCATGTGAATTTTTAAGTATTTACCTCAATTGCCTTATAATAAGGTACGCATGAAAGAATTCCTTCAAATTTTCATTTTCATGCGAGGCCTTAGATGATCACCTTAATGTCAAACCACCTTATCTACAGAGGCCTTCTACATAAGCAAAGGAAGATTCTTGGAAGCTGCAAGAGAGTTGGAAGTGCAAGCTTCAAAAGAAATTAATAATGGAAAGGAGAGTGATACATCCACGAAGTCAAAAGAGGGAGAAAAACAGATGATGGTGTGGATTCTTGCTGTTGTAATTTGATTTGTTTGAGTTTTAGTTGTCAATGTCATGAAGCTGGGTTGTGTTATGAAATCCATTTAATAGTAGAAGTGGTAACCGTAGCAAGCAATTCAATGTTTTTATTTTTGTTTTTTGGTGAAAAATGTTGTCTGGATAGAGTGAGAAAAAGTAAGTTCCTGAAGAGAGGAGAAAAAGAGAGAGAAAGGGACAGAGAGTCTAGAAGAAGAGTAAAAAAACAACAGAGAGTCTAGAAGAAGAGTAAAAAAAGCATCTTTTTTTAAATCTGAAGACCAAATGATAAAATTTCATAGGTTGATTCTTGACCAACATACTTCTTATGTTATATTGCGTGTAATTTTTCAAATAGAACCCTTCATCTCACTTCTACCATCCCCAATTATTGCTGTTAGTTACAATTTGATTATTTTGATGATTTGAAGATATATCCAATTTTCCTCTTGTTTTCTTTTGACTTATTTTGCTACATTATCCCTAGGTTTTTTACCATTGACTGCCAATTCTATTTATAATGGGTGTTACGTAGCTTTAACTTTTTCACTCCCATTTCCATTAGAATCTCCAACGTAAGATTATCAGGGGATGATATAAATTTAGCTGCTTAACTGTACAATCTAAGGATGGAGCAGAGGTTGAAGAATGCTGCCGAAGAGGGAAATATTGATGCGCTGTACGCACTATTTCAGGAGAATAAATACATATTGCAGGACATTGATCAGATCCCATTTGTTCATACTCCTCTACATATAGCAGCATCTGCTGGCTGTACCCATTTTGCTGTTGAAATGATTAGCTTAAAACCATCATTTGGTAGGAAGTTTTAATCCCTTTGCATTTAGCACTCGAAATGGGCATACCGAGCATACCGAGACTGTGATAAGGCTCATAAAATTAAATGGCGAGCTTATCCACGTCCAAGGGAAGGAGAGGATCACTCCTTTGCATCATGTAGCTGAAATAAATGGTTACAATCTATTGTGCTTGCCTAGCATCGGTCAAGGTTTTGACAGTTCGAGGAGAGACTGTAGTGTATATTGCCACAAGAAATGGAAGCTTCCAAGCATTTAAAGTAATTTTGGGATGGCTTCATAAATTCTACATTCAAGAGTTGCTAAACTGGAAGGACAAGGATGGCAACACAGAGATGCATATTGCAGTGTCCGCTAACCAACTTCTGGTACTCTCTCTTGCTCCATTTTGCCTGCGTGCAGCAGTATATCTGCAGTTTCTGTTGATGGTTCTAAGGATACAAGCCATTACTTTTGCTTTATTTTAATGCCATTTGTAATTAATTGTTTCTGAATTAATGTGAATTCTCCATTTCTCAGGTGGTGGAGTTGTTAATCAATAATAAAGCGGACAAAGTTGCAACGAATTGGGAGGGCAAAACGGCACTTGATTCATCTGAACCAAATGAAGAGGTCAGAAACATTTTAGTCCGCGCAGGAGCTTCAAAAGCGTCATTCCCTCCTAAATTAACAAAAGTCTGGCACATTTTATGAGTTCTGTTAAATTTATGAAAATTTGTTGTGGCATGCTCCTACTATGCATAAAGGTTTGTCAAGTGAAATGCACAATGCGCAACTGGTTGTAGCTGTGCTTATTGCAACTGCTATCTATAAAATTGTACCCAAACCCCCCCGCCGCACCCCCTCCCCCCCTTCTCTCTCTGCCATTAACGGTACAGCCATAGATCATTCTGCTATCATTGGTACTGACATCAACAGTACTGCCATGGACCGTGCTGGGATGGTAGTTATGTCCAAATATGAATTCGATACTATAAATATTTTCAACTCAACTGCATTTTCTGTCGCAGTTGGAGTGACTTATCTTGCCCTCACACGCACATCATCATTATACTATTGGGGCATTCTCTAATTTTCCTGGCCATTAGTTATTTAAAAAATAATGTCATCAATAGAACAATATGAATTTTCTTTTCTCTATCACATTCGACGCGTATTTATTTTTCGCATTGATTGTTTCAGTGAGGAATTTGATTCATTAATGGCGAAAGAAGAATCTTTAATAGTGTGCCGCTCTGCAGGTTTAATCCTCTCACCATGTTGAGATGAGGCGCCAATTGGTTGGTTGGTTGGTGAAACATCGACCGAGTGGGTGGAGACAGCAGATGACGAGCACAGCACCAACATTAGAGTATGTGGACTAGCTTGGACTGCCCCCAAAGACCGAGCCGTGTGTTCTTGTGATTTACTATTCCACTTTTACCTTAGTGTGTTATTGTAATATACAATATATATCTATCAAATAATTTTGTAAGTTGAATGTACGACTTTAGTGTAAACCTTACTAGTTCTATTTTTGAGTTTCTTCTTTCTTCGGTCTTGAGACTATATCTACCCTGTTAAACCAAATGACATTCTCTTGATATGTTAGTGTTCAGACATATCAGGGTTCCAAATTCTGTTAAACAGTGTATTATCTAGTGACTCATCATGTAACGATTCTTACCCTATTCAGACCCAATATTATCCGCCTTTGGATCCCTTTGATTAGAGAGTTCACAGGGAAGCCAAAAACGGATAATATTGTGTTTGGACAGGGTGAGAATTATTACAAATAGTATCAGAGCTCGATCCAGCCGGAAGTGTGGCCCGGGACGTTGGCCCCAAAGGGGGTGATTGTAACGACCCTCACCCTAGTCATGAAACTATCTGCAATTGTGGGAATTTTGCGGGTGGGTGTGTGTGAGTGTGCGCAGGTGGCATCAGTAGTCTACCACACTCGGCGAACTACAGGTGCATAATCCCACATCGCCTGAGTGTGGATGGGGTAAATACTACATGTAAATTCAACACCCTTCTATGACGCAATACGTTTTAAAGCCGTGAACCCATCAGAACTCCGAGTTAAGCGTGCTTAACCTGGAGTAGTACCATGATATGTAACGGTATCGAACTCTTAATTAAGAATAAATTTTAACAACCACCGTGTAAAAAAATACTCTACGTGAAATATTCTATTTTAACACAAGGTGTTTTCATTTTCTTTTCTTGTCTTATTTAATCGGTTAAGTCTTTCTTCTTTTAAAATACTATAGATTCACTTTTAAAAAAAAAAAAAAAAAAAATTTAGGTTCACAATGAAAATATTTTGTTGCCTTGCAGTTGTCAAATTCTATGTCTTATTAAAGTTGTTCGATAATAAATTAGCTCTAATGACTAAACTCCTCACAAGCACATGTGACTAATGACCCATAGTTACAAAATTGGCAGCACAATTTAACAGAAACAATATATAGATATTAATGGACATTGAATGGAATTTTTTCGAAGCTTCTTGGAAGCTACTGGAGCAGAGTGAAGTTCAGAAAGATCATTAAATGTATTCACACCATGTGAAAAAGTTACTAAAAGAAAGAAAGGGACAAAAAGTTACTTAATTTAGAAGAAGAGTACAAAAGCTTATTTCTTTTTCTAGATGTTAAGACCAAATAGTGAAATTTCTGTTTAAATTTAGTTGTTTGATTCTTCAATAACTTACTTTTTATGTTATCTTGCATGTGAATGATGGACCGTTACATATTTGGCAACACAATTTTATAGGAAGAAATAATTATTTTTTTACTTTTTTTGAAATTTCATAAAAATTACCGAAACAGAGTAAAATTCAAAGATCATTGAATGTATTCATATCATAGTATGCGAAAAAATAATTAAGATGAATAAAGGTAGAAGAAGAGTGAAAATAACTTCTCTCTTTTTTCTTTTTCTAAATCCGAAACATCAAATGGTAAAATTTTCTTTAGCGTTGCTTAATTTTCTTTAGATTCACTTTTCAAAAAAAAAAAATTTAGGTGCACAATGAAAATAATTTGTTGCCTTGCAGTTGTCAAATTCTATGTCTTATTAAAGTTGTTCGATAATAAATTAGCTCTAATGACAAAACTCCTCACAAGCACATGTGACTAATGGCCCATAGTTACAAAATTGGCAGCACAATTTAACAGAAACAATATAAAGCGATTAATGGGCATTGAATGGAATTTTTTCGAAGCTTCTTGGAAGCTACTGGAGCAGAGTGACCATTAAATGTATTCACACCATGTGAAAAAGTTACTAAAAGAAAGAAAGGGACAAAAAGAAAGTTAATTTAGAAGAGTACAAAAGCTTATTTCTTTTTTTAGATGTGAAGACCAAATAGTGAAATTTTTGTTTAAATTTCGTTGTTTGATTCTTCAATAACTTACATTTTATGTGAATGATGGACCGTTATAAATTTTGTTACACAATTTCACAGGAAGAAATAATTTTTTTTTTACCTTTTTTTAAGACTTCGTAAAAGTTACCGAAGCAGAGCGAAATTCAAAGACCATTGAATGTATTCATATCATAGTATGTGAAAAAATAATTAAGATAAATAAAGGTAGAAGAAGAGTAAAAATAACTCCTCTCTGTTTTTCTTTTTCTAAATCCGAAACATCAAATGGTAAAATTTTCTTTAGCGGTGCTTAATTGGTTGATTCTTCAATACTGACTTATTTCTTAAGAGAAATTGGTGGACTCTAGTGTTGGTTTTCATTATCAGCTACGTCATTGAATGTATTCACACCATATTATGTGAAAAAGTACGTGCATGAAAATTTATAAAAAAAAAAAAAAAGAAAAGAAAAAGACGGACAAAAAGCTAGTCTAAAAGGTAAACAAGTTTTTTTTTTCTTTTTTCTAAACGGGAAGATCAAATATTAAATTTCTTTAGTTGAATTTTGACCGAACTACTTCTTATGTTATCTTGAATGTGATTGTACAAATAAGATTTTTGATGAATTTGTTTTAAAACTAAAATTATTTTGTAATAGTACACACTATATTTTCTATCATAGAATTGTAATGTAATTATTAATGCTTAATTTGAGGCTGTGCTTATGTGTAATTGATGGTATAATTTTTTAATAATCATTACTGATTTTCAAACTTTATTTGATGAGATTTAATGCTAATCATTTATTGTTATACAAGGATTTAAAAATTTCACTGAATCTTATTATAAAAATATTTAACTTATTCAAAATTAAGTGTCAAATTAAATTAGCAAACAAACATCTAGTGCATAAATGTAGCACTTTTAATGTATAAATTATTAAAAATGAAAGTTCATACTATTTTATATGTATTTTCTTCACAGTTTCACAATGTCACAAGTTTATAGTTTCATTAGAAAAATGTTTCCAGAGTCTCTTTTAATTCAGCTGCTGTAGTAGGATGCTCACAGTGAGACGGCAAGAGATTATTTATCATCACATGATCTAAACGGCGTCGCTTTTAAATTCCTAGAAATTCTAGAATACCACACCTGACTTTCCCATTCGCGCCAAGTAGTAGAGTTGATAATCCACTAAAAAAACAAGGGTATAACTGTAATATCAGTGCATCCTATTTCCTTTGCCGCTAATGGTAAGTTCATTTCACATTGACCATTTCCTTCCAGACTTGCTCACTCCCTCTCTGTGTGTTGAATTTTCGAAGTTGACAACAACCACCATTATCTCTCCATCTCTACATATAAATCTATATTTATATATCTCTATATATTTATCATGCATCACAGAGAGAGAGCCAGTCTCTATATAGTTTGTAGTCTCCCTTTCTTCTTCTTTGTTGAGCCTTCACAGATTTGACCTGGTTTCAAACAGATCGAAGGAGCTTGCTCTCCATCTAGAAATTAAAGGTACAGAAGAATTCAATCTTTTTTTTCACTTTCTATTTTTGGATTATTTTCTGTTCAATTACTGAAACCTTGTTTGTTTAAACAGTGATTATTAGCACCAAACAAATATATACTTATGTGGCGTTTGGAAAACCCAGTAGGTGTTTTAGATTTAGGATTGGAACTAAATTTTTTTTAATTTTAAATTCAAGATATTCAATACTTTAAATCATAGCATTAACACACTTCTCTACATTACACAATGAGAGTTGAAGAATGGAGATAATCTGAATGGGTTGTTGGCCTAGTGGTATAACTCTCTATCCTCAAAAGAAGAGGAGAGGAGTTCGAGGCGGAGCGTGAGCAAGGGTGTGTGTGTGTGTGTTTTACCATTTGTGAAAAAAACAAAAGAAAAATGAAAAAAGAAAACCTAGTTGTTGGGATTAATAAATAGTATTATTAATTTTCACAAATTGGTCGATTATCCTTAAAATTTGGATCTACTTCTTTGAACTTTCAGTTCTTCTAAAAAAAAAAAAGGAAATTCAAACCCCACTTTGTTTTTCTATAAACACATTATTTATGTTACATTTTATGCTTATAAGCTGCAAATTCTCTTAAATTTCTATTTACTCTTGAGTTTTAGTTGCAAATCTTTAGATTCTGAGTGCTAATCTGATTTATTTTTACCTTTTCTTTTGATTTTGTTCTTGTTTTAATTTTTCTCAGCAACCAAACAGTGAATTTTGTTGTTGGGGTATTGAGAATGAAGATTTTGTTGAATGGCGGTCTATCTGATGGGAATTCCAGAAAGCGGACTTTGGAAAACGGCTATTCTTCGTCTTCTATTGTTTCGGAGTTCAAGTATAAGCCCCGGAAGGTTTCGTGTGTTCGTGATTATCCTCCGGGGTGTGGGCCAAATGCTCCACCGATTCACTTGAGGCAAAAGGAAAATGTGGTGGATGATGAAAGGAGAACTGAAGTTGTAGTGGATTGTGTTGGAACAGCTGAGGTTCGGGTTGAATTCCAGTCTCATGAAGTGCTGAAAATTCGAATTCGGCGAGAAATGGCTGAATCATCGGGTGGTTTGGTGGGGAAGGCGGTGGACATGTCCGGGATGGTCAGTGAGGATGAAAACATTTCAACAAAAAATTATCCTGAAAGAAGAGTTTCGGTTACCCGTGATTACCCTCCATTTTGTGGAAGGAATGCTCCATGCCCAACTGAGGAAGAGCGGCAGAGGGTTATATTGAGAAACAAGAGTGTTGGTGGCACAGAGAGGGCTGGTGCAAAAGGCGGGTCAATGAGGGAGACAGTGGTGGCTGCGAGGGCTAGTACGGTGGTAGAATCAAAAAGGAATGTTGGAGATGGGAATGCTCAGACGAATGAATCCAGAGGAACTGTGCCCGAGCCAAGAAACAAGTCCCAGACAGTAATTATAAAGGATTCCGAGGATGCAAGAGATTCATTGGGGAAAATGCCGAAGGAGATAATGGTTCACTCACACTCATGTGGGGTGGACAGGATGAGAGGGCAAGGTCTCATGGCTTCACCATATGGTCAGCGGAAGCAGAGGAAAAGGGCTTCAAAAACTATCCCAGATGGAAAAATAAAATTAAAGAAGCAGGATTTCACCCGGCAAGAGAAGTCAATGTCTGCTGGGAAGGCAGCTTTTAGAGGCATAGGTGCACCACCTGTCTGGGATGAGGAAGATTCTGTTCTTCATGATGATGTGCAGCGTAACCATTCTCACCAATTTCGACGACTGAATGAATTTGATGCACGTCTGCCCCACTGTTATGGTCCAAATAGTTCAAATCATGGGGATGCCCGATACAAAGTGAGGGAAATGCTACGTTTGTTCCAAACTACTTGTTGGAATGTCTTACAAAGGGAAGAAGCAAAGTTGAGGCAGAGCAAAAGGATTGATCTTGAAGCGATAAAGATTTTAAAGGAAAAACAAAAAGGATTTAACACTGGTAAACAAATACTAGGAGCAGTTCCAGGAGTTAGGGTAGGCGACGAGTTCCAGTACAGGGTGGAGCTAGTTCTTATCGGCATGCATAGACGGTACCAGGATGGTATAGATTACATGACATATGGTGGACAGATCATTGCAACTAGTATTGTTGCTTCAGGGGGTTATGATGATGATCTAGACAATGCTGATGTCTTGATATACTCTGGACAAGGAGGAAAACCAGTAGGCCGCGATAAGCTACCGGAAGACCAGAAACTTGTAAAAGGAAACTTGGCTTTGAAGAACAGTATATCGGTGAAGAATCCCGTGAGAGTGATCCGTGGATCGAGAGAGACAAAGGCCTCTTCCTCATCAGATGCAAGAGCTAAGATGGTTATGACATACACTTATGATGGCCTGTACAATGTAAAGAGGTACTGGCAGGAACCAGGACCGCATGGTAAGCTGGTTTATAAGTTCAAGTTGACAAGAATTCCAGGCCAACCAGGCAACCAGAGGTTGCTTGGAAGGAAGTGAAAAATGAAGAGATGAAGAGATGAGCCGGCATGCACCAACATGGGATATATCATCTTTAGAACAATATGAGAGGTGGTGAATAAATTATGAGCCGTGTTTGCTTTACTTTCAGTTCAAGTGTTCTTGTGATCGATTTACTTTTCTAGTTTTCTTTTAGCTTTGTGTGTTGTTGTAATATATCTATCAAATAATTTTGTAAGTTGAATGTAAAGTTTAGCCTAAACCTCGTTCTATTTCGGAGTTTCTTTCATTCTTCTTGAGACTATATAATGGCATACTCTTCATATACAAGTGTTAAGATACAGCCTAGGCTCAAACGAATCCCGATCCTCTCTTGTTTTATTTCATCTCATGTCACGTTCTGTGTCATTACATCGCTTATGCAATAACTCACATTACTTATGCAATAATTTGGCTTAGGATTCCCTCCATAGGAGGGGATCCAGATTCGGCCCAAACCCGATTTGGGGCTCACCAACCGGCTAGCCTGACCAAGTACTGGTGTTAGACAATGTATTATCTAGTGGCTCATCACTTCACAAACTGATGTTTGATACTTGAACTTAAAAATTATAAGGATATTATGTTAGCTCAAGGATTTATTAATAAATGAAATCTAACCGGCTAGCCTGACCAAGTACTGGTGTTAGAAAATGTATTATCTAGTGGCTCATCACTTCACAAACTGATGTTTGATACTTGAACTTAAAAATTATAAGGATATTATGTTAGCTCAAGGATTTATTAATAAATGAAATCTTTTGGATAAGAGATTTTAATTAAGAATCAGTTTTAATACCAGTCAGTCAAATAAAATGAGGAAAGTATTCTGTGTCAAACTTTCTATTTTAACAAAGACTCATTTTCATTTTCTTTTCTTCTTTCAACATACTATAAATATCATGTCTCAAAAGCAAAAACAAAAACAAAATTAGATGCAAAAAAAAAAAAAAAAATTTATTGCCCAAAACCATTGAAGACACAACCAATTGTCAAATTCTATATCCAATTAAAGTTGTTGGCTACGTTTTCTTCTTTGTCTAATTAATGCCTTGCACATGATCTTTACAGGTCACAAATGAGTTTTCTTTAAAAGATTTTAATTTACAAAAATGCCATTGTTGAGTGTTTTTGATTGGTTGACCCTAGACTCCTCTTTATCATTTTAGTGATGATTATTGGAATTGGTTTTTGAAGAAATTATAATGAGAGAGTTCTCACTTAGGAAACCAAGTCATTTTTTATTGTCGACCAGAAGTGCTCTGAATTTTTAACATTTTAGGTGAACACAACATAAAAATATTTAAAAGATGTCTTTCTGTTTTTGTAATTATATATAATTTTTTTAGAACAATGAGATTTAATACAATTCAAATATTTATGAATTAATTTAAATAACAATATAAATTTTTTAAAAATATACATGACAAATACCTAGATTACAGTTACTAGAATATTACATTACCATGTTAATGCAATAATACTACATCGTAATACAATAGTCTAATAATAAAATACATTATAATATAATACAATTGTTGCAAAAAGGACAAAAAAAATTATTTCATACACCATGTAAAGACACAAAAATAACATAGAAGACGATCCATACTATGAACTGACTTTAAAATTTTGTTCTGAAATGCGTACTCTGACTTTAATGTCTCTTAGTGAACCTTTTGACAACGTAAACCACCTGACTTCCCATTCGCGCCATGTGGTAGAGCCGATAATGTACACAAAACCAGGGGCATAACTGTAATATCATGATTCCCATTCGCTTTGCCGCTTATGTATAGAACTGTATGAAGTAGTTCATTTCGCTGCGAGCATTTCCATTTGTCTCTCTAACACCTCTTCTCCGACACCGCCTCTGCTTCCTCTCTCTTTCTCTCTATTGCTCTAGGGTTTCTGTTTCTCTGTCTAAAGAAGGTTGCAGTTTGTTTCTTTTCTAGCTCAAGAAGGTTTTCGCTGGTTGATGTGGTCGCACCACTTTACTGAGCATTTCTATCATCATCTCTCTCTCAGGTACATCCTTTACATACTAATGAAATTTACTTGCAATTCATTAGGTTCTGAGTGTTAATCTAATTTCTTTTTTACTTTTCCTAGCTTTTGATTTTGTTTTTTGTTTAAATTTTTCTCGGCAACCAAACGATAAATTTTGTTGTTGGGGCTATTGAGAATGGTATACTTGTTGAATGGTGGAGGTCTATCTGATGGGAATTCGAGCAGGCGGCCTTTGGAAAGAGGCTATTGCTTGTCTTCTAGTGTTTCGGAGTTCAAGTATAATGCCCCCAAGGTTTTGTGCATTCGCGATTATCCACCCGGTTGTGGGCGAAATGCTCCGCCGATTCATTTGAGGCAAGAGGAGAATTTGGTGGATGATGAAAGGAGGACAGAAGTTGTAGTGGCTGATTGTGTTGAATTCCAGTCTCGTGAAGTGCTGAAAAGTCGAATTCGCCCAGAAATGGCTGAATTATCAGGTGGTTTGGTGGGGAAGGTGGTGGATATGCCTGTGATGGTCAGTGAGAATGAGAAATTTTCAACAAATTTGGAGGTATTGGGGATTGGGTTTCAGAATGATACAGAATGTCTTGCACCGGAATTGGAAATTGGTGCTTTGGATGATGAGATGGTTTTGGTGGCTAGTGCAAAAAAGTTGTCTCCACAGCATTGGCCTACAGGTGATGCCAATGGTTCGGAGGAGACTGCCCTGAAAAGAGATTATCCTCGAAGAAGAGTTTTCAGTTACCCGTGATTACCCTCCATTTTGAGGAAGGAATGTGCCCTGCCCAACTGAGGAAGAGCACCAGAGGGTTGTTTTGAGGAACAGGAGCTTTGGTGGCACAGGGAGGGCTGGTGCGAAATTCAGGTCAATGAGGGAGATACTGGGCCTGCAAGGGCAAGCGTCCTAGAATCAAAAAGGAATGTTGGATATGGGAATGCTCAGACGAATGAATCAAGAGGAACTATGCCTGAGCCAAGAAACAACTCCCAGGCAGTCATTCAAAAGGATTCCGAGGATGTAAGTGATTCGTTGGGGAAATTGCCGAAGGAGATAATGGTTCACTCACATGGAAAAAATACTAAGCCAAGGCTTTTGGGTGATCATGTTGGTTTGGAATGTGGAGCGGACAGGATGACTGCGGTTCAAGGTCTCATGGCTTCAAAATCTATCCCCGATAGCAGTATGTGCCTAAGCAAATTAAAGAAGCTGGATATCACCGCGAAAGAGAAGTCTAGAATTGTTGTTAGGAAAAATAATCATGAAGCAGATTATTCAAGAGAACATTCTTCGAAGGGGAAATCAATGTTTGCTGGGAAGGCAGCTTATAAGCAGTGTAACGATTTTGAAGATTTTGATGTCTGCCCCCGTGTTATGGTCCAAATAGTTCAAACACTGGTGATTCCCGAAGCAAAGTGAGGGAAACACTACGCTTGTTCCAAACTATTTGTAGGAAGCTCTTACAAGAGGAAGAAGCAAAGTTGAGGCAGACCAAAAGGATTGATCTTCAAGCCATAGAGATTGTTAAGAAAAAAGGAAAAGAACTCAACTGGTAAAAAAATACTGGGAGCAGTTCCGGGAGTTGAGGTGGGTGATGAGTTACAGTACAGGGTGGAGCTTGCTCTTATTGGCATACATCGTCTTTACCAGGGTGGTATAGATTACATGAAGTGTGATGGAGAGATCATTGCAACTAGCATTGTTGCTTCAGGGGGTTATGATGATGATCTGCACAATGCTGATGTCTTAATATACTCTGGGCAAGGAGGAAATCCAGTAGGTCACGATAAGCAACCTGAAGACCACACACTTGTAAGAGGAAACTTGGCTTTGAAGAACAGTATATCGGTGAAGAATCATGTGCGAGTGATCGTGGATCTAGGGAGACAAAAGCCTCTGACTCATCAGATGCAAGAGCTAAGATGGTTATGACATACACTTATGATGGCCTGTACATTGTAAAGAGGTACTGGCAGGAACCCGGACCACGTGGTAAGCTGGTTTATAAGTTTGAATTGACAAGAGTTCCAGGCCAACCAGAGCTTGCTTGGAAGGAAGTGAGTAATACAAAAAAATGTAAAATACGGAAGGGTCTTTGTGTTTATGATATATCAGGAGGGAAAGAGTTGTTTCCTATTTGTGCTGTGAACTCAATGGACAACGAGAAACCCCCACCGTTCACATACATGACCCGGATGATGTATCCTGATTGGTACCACCATAATCCTCCCAAGGGTTGTCACTGCACTGATGGATGCTTGGATCCTGAAAAATGCTTGTGTGCAGTCAAGAATGGAGGACAGATCCCATACAACCATAATGGAGCTATTGTGGAAGTGAAGCCTCTTGTCTATGAGTGTGGTCCTTCTTGCAAGTGTCCTCCTTCTTGCTGTAATAGAGTCAGCCAGCATGGTATGAAAATTCAGCTTGAAATTTCAAAACCCAGTCAAGGGGCTGGGGTGTTAGATCCCTAACTTCTATTCCTTCTGGAAGTTTTATATGTGAGTATACCGGAGAGATTCTTGAAGACAAGGAAGCTGATCAAAGAATCGGTTATGATGAATATATGTTTGATATTGGCCGAAACTACAATGACTGTTCTCTCAGTGATGGAACTCAAACTCTGAAGCCTGATGCACAATCAAGTTCTAGCGAGGTTGAGGAGGAGATTGGCTACACCATCGATGCAGCACAGTACGGGAATGTAGGGAGGTTCATCAACCACAGTTGTTCTCCTAATCTCTACGCACAGAATGTCCTTTATGATCATGATGAAAAGAGAATGCCCCATATAATGCTCTTTGCTGTGGATAATATTCCTCCGTTACAGGAGCTGAATTACCATTACAATATTTCGGTAAACCAGATTCATAATTCCAATGGAAATATCAAGATAAAGAGATGCAAATATGCTATTGTGGATCAACAGTGTGTAGTGGAAGGATGTATTGACGCATTTGTAGTAGATGAAGTTTAGTATCTCAATGAACAG